GTCCATATGTCCCATGTTCCGCTTTTTAATGGTAATCTTGGATGCCGAATAAGGCGCATAACAGCTTGTAATTGACTGAGGAAACGGAAATAAATACGTTCAGTGTTTATTTGATTGTAAAACAACATTTAATCATTCTAAATGTGCGTTTCAGTGAAAATGTAAAAGGAGCGTTAATTACTCACAGGAAACATAAAGATATTTATGATTAAACATAATCGGGCAGTTAAATCTTATCTTGTTAATGCGTCAAGCCTTAACGCTACCATGGTGTAAGTTTTAATGCTCTAATTTAGATAACTTTAACTTATGAAGTAATGTTATTACTCTGAAATATTAGTACACTGATGTAACTTAACATGTAATACAGGAATACTTGAATACTTTCTCCATAGTGGATAACTTTATTCCACGAAATATTTCCAAAACTACACATAGCACTTTTATTGAGATATCTTGACCTAATAAAAGTAGCGATCTTTCAATGTTATAGTTTACTTTGAAAGGTAATAACGTAGCCCGCGATTATCTTGTTTCATGGTATATTGCACGTAATTGCTTTTTTGTTGCGTTGTAATTTGAACTTGACGGAGGCGCAGTTCAGAGATAGTGTTGACCACGGCGCCGCCAGCGCTCCAGATACGTCACCCAGGCTAGTAGGCTTGACGTCAAGATGACAACCGAAAGTGGCCCAATGCTTCAAGTATTGCTTGCTATTAATATTAACCTTGTTAGGACGACCTATATTACAGACTACTTGTAAAAATTAACCGTCGTAATGGCATACAACTTTCTAAGAAACATTTAAAATTCCACGCTCTTTCAGCAAAAATATAAAACTGTCTACATTCATCGATAAACAAAAAATAACTTTGTACCAAAGTAATAATTAAGTTCGGATGAAAATACTTTACTGACGGATTGCAATTCATTAAAAGTAATTATTTCAAAAACATTAATTGTACATCACTATAAAATATGTTATTGCTAAAAATGTAACAAAATATCTTAACGCCAATTGCTTATTAATTTTTCTTCGCTAATCAAAATTCCTTGCCGAAAAAAGATGACAAATTTAGTCTGGGAGGTGCAAATGAAAGTAAATGTGATTTGTGAAGGCGCACATTTCATTCCACTACTATGAAAGCTCATAAATATCTGGTAATATTATGGTAAAGTGCGATAGGCTTGAAAGGAAAGTTAAAGATATACATTTTCGCCTTAAAGGTTTAAAATGCACAGTTAATTATACACTGCCATGGCTCGTTAGTTATGAAGCAAAAGGATATAGAAAAAGCTCGGGACTTTTGGAAAAGCTATTGTTAGTGTAAATTAAAGCGTAATAAAGGAAACACGCAGCATAGGGATTTTCTTTAAAACATGCTTTTGCTTGTAATCAGAAAAGTTTTTGAGAATAGTTTCAAAACACGATTCTCAATGCTTTAAAAGAAATGCGCTAATTTCTAGACCTCCACTCATGCCACATCGCCGTGCGTGAATGAATACTTATACAGTAAAATAATCCCATATGGGTTTATATTATTACTGCTTTCTATGTTCCAATAAAGCAAGCGTAAATAAACAGCAACTGAGCGTGACAAACCGACAGACATTTTCACTAGCTTAGTAATCCGATAGGACTGATAAATTATTCGGCCCAATAAACTTATCCAGCCACAATAGGAGTAGCGCAAACGTGCGTTTGCGGTCGCCATATTAGAATATCAAAAACAAAAATAACAAGTACGTTTGTATTTGAGATATAATCTGTAGGTCAATATTAGTCGCACCAATAAACAGAAAGTGTGAGCGATATAAGTTCAAATGTTTTATGGGTACGAAAGTTATTACCTACTTTGATATTCAAAATAGATACTGTGGTAGGTAAGGGGGCTTCACATTAGTCCGAAGTTCATAACGCATAAATATCAAAGTACCTAATAAAAGTAAAACCACAATATAAATATAAATGTCACCCTAACTTACGCTGGCGTTTCCGCGTGCCGTAGAAACCGGCCTAGTTTACTACGAAAATTGCCTTATTTGCATTCGCTGGGAAAATCACCCCATTGATTAGAACATAAAAGTTTATTAACTTAAATAATGAAATATTAATCTTTAGTCCACAGAGCTTAACAAATAACAATAAAGCTTCATTAAGGTGCAATATCGCTTGACTGAAAGTATCATTTTGAAATACATAAATAAATTAACTATCCGGAAGCTCCGCAAGATAAAAGACCCGATGAGCAAAAATAACTTAGTAGCCGGGCAACACCCACGCGTTTCCCGACATTTCCAACCCGTCGAGCCGGCAGCAGAGAGAGCCCGCACTTTTCACAGATATTGAAACTGGTATCTCGCAGCAGGCTATCGAATTACGACGCCGTTAACGCGAAGACTGCATTCACGATAATGAAAACATCCAATAGATGATGCGATTTGAATAAATTATCAATATAGTCTGAATGAAGATAGAGGTGACCTCAAATCAGCGACTTAGTTGATTGTTTGCCATTTAATTAAGCGTTTTGAGGTTGATTGATAATGTAGGTATTAAAAATTCATATGTCACGAGACATATTTTTGCGTGAGAAAGTTTTTTAAAAGAAAATTCTGCATATTCCTGAATGAGATTGTTATATCATATCGCGCTGAGCGGATGTGTGTCTCTGTGTCGCTTGCACTAATGTATGCGGTGACCTATCGCTGGCATGCGCGGCAGCATAAAATTACGTGTTTAGGTGAGCAGCATGTAAACTCGGCCTATCTACGCGGGGCGCATGCAGTTAAAGGCATGCCCGGCGACAATTTGCCGATCATTGCGATTATACAAGCAGTTAACTCTGTACCACTTATTGACGCATACTTGGTCAATGAGCTTTGATGGTAAAACCGTCGTCCTTATCGGCTTGTTGCTAGTCCACTTCTGGGGTGCATTTGTTATTAAGATCACGTGCTATTAGACCATAATTTGCATGTTAGTCTAGATTTTAAGAATTCACCAGCGATGCTCATTAGTTTCTGATTAAGTTATAAAGTTGTCGAAAGTTTAGATTTAAATCACAAAAGTGTAATAACTACGTAAAGCCATGCTTTATTTCTTTTGATGTTATCACGGCAACAAGAAATACAGAAACTAATTATCTCACGCTTTTTAGGCTACTCGGACTATTTCAAAGAAGTGTAACCGAAATTATGTCAATAGCTCTGCTACTAAAAAAACTCAATGGCGGCGTGATGGGTTTATCATTGCATGAAATCTTCACGGGCGTGGAGCGTAAAATGTGAGATACGCGAGGACGGCGCGGACGCACGGAAGAGAAAGTTACGGCTCAAGGACGAGGGCGTCGCTCCCGATATTGCGCAAGCGCGGGATAATTGATGGGGTCTGACCTCACATTGTGACCTTACTTTTTGCTTTACGGGGACAACGTTGTTCATAATGAATCTTGGGAACTAAAACTAACATTTGAAATGGCCCTAAGACAAATTATTGAGTATCCAATACGACGGTACTCGTATATCGAGTATATGAATTGGTACCTAAGTATTTATCTGGGAAAAAAAGTATTACCATATCATCGGATGTTGGATATTGGATTCAAGTCTAAGTATTATTCTACAAGACGGATCATAATTTAATTACTAATGCTCGATAAAAAGTTGTGCTTTTTAGATCGAACCTCAATCATTAATAATTTAATTTATACATGCATGCATGCTAAATAGTATTGTTTTGGATTGTATCTTGATATGCTATTTGTGAAAACTATGTAAGGCATTTTTGATCTTAACCGCCTCATCTATTAATAATACATATATGCTGTTTGTTTTCCATAAAATAAATAAATAAATATTTTGACTTCAAAACTGTCACAAGTCATGGTGACTCTACTCGCAATTGTTTCGAAACCAAAGCGCTTGGTCCGGGTTCACAAAGCGGATGCCGACTCAAGGACGATGACTCGACTCTACCATCATCACCAGCCTGCGGCAATCATGGCTTTCACTCCGATGAGGGCCAGCAAAGTTCAATGGCAACTGTCGGGCCTTTTTTGGAAACATCCCATGATTACGTTACGGGCATGAGCACGGTGCATTCAGTTTGACGAAAGCTCCAAAACATTGTTCGTATTACATTACAATCCATTTCAATCTTATAAGCCAGCATTTATTAGCACATTACAGTTTCGACAATGCGCTAAAACGGTATCAAAGTAGGTATAGTAGCATCCTTGAATAAAGGGGTACGATGAATTCTCACGTGTTACAGTTAGAAAGACTGCAGTCCCAACTTTAAGACATCAAAAATTACCACCAAATTCTGCGTTTTGGATCGTAATTTCGTCACGTTCTTATATTTTTGTTAGATACTCAAAAACAAAACAGCGAGGCCGGTCAAACGTGACCCTTCAGTACTTTCACTCGCAAGCTGCGCCCGCGCCACATACTCCAAATGCTCTTGTTACAGGAGTTACGTAACACAAGTTTCGGCAGCGTCTGCGAGTAATTACCGCAGAGAAAGCCGATACATTTCGCCGAGAATGATCGAGTGAGCACAAACTATAGCTCGTTTCCGTCTTTTAACGAGCTCACATTGCACAATTTGATACATGAGAATTGAAATTGCATAATGATAAGTGAAAATCTTAGAGCAGCCCAAAATTAATTGGTAGGCGATAAATTATAACGTGCAAGCCTTTCTAAATTAATGACGGAAAGTCTATCATTTGGGCTCGTTAAATTGCGTTTATGTTTATTTTTTTAAATTATTCGTCAATTTATTATTATTAAATTAAGGTCAGTATTTTGACTACATCTTGATTGGCATAAAAGACATGCAGCAGCGATAGATCTACTTCAATTATGATTTTCATTTTGTATTTGTACAAAGATTCAGTTTTCATCTGTCGCTGTTACATGTTCCACACATACAGTCTTTAATCTATACGTTACTTTGGATCGTTTTAGAAATGAACTTCCTATAGTGTACTTACCAAAACGTTATCTTGGTGACATATATTTGCAAGTTACTCGGATTTTGAAAACCTGCAACAAAAAGATAAACTTTATTACACAGTCCTTATCACTTAACTGCTAACATAGTTACATTACTAAAACACCCGCACAAATAGATATTACGACATGTTGAAAAGTGACTTCTACGGAAAATGTATCCTTAACTCAACCCTTCCTAAGGGGCGTCTCCCTTTTACGAAGTTCAATGTTATCTTTGACATTTTCACAAGATAAAAACATAAAGAAATAAAAGCAAAAGTTAGTAAAATCGAGGTTACAGAGACACGCCTCACCCAAATACCTGTATTAGTATGCTGGAAAACAATACGGCTCATTGGCACTAAGAAAACCAGCGTCCGCTGTTTTGGACATTTTTCACGAATGAGTCACGCGTACTACTTTGATCGGAACCGAGATTCAACAAAACATTTGATCAATGTCACGTCGACAACTATCACGATATTTTTCAATTTAAACGGTAAAAAATTACGCATAACTCAACTCAAATTAATTAACTTCACATGTTTTTCATCTAACATCATTTTAAATACTTACTCTGCTGGAATAATAACATATAACTTTCGTTAACTAACGTTAAAACCATATTTAAACATAAAAATGTTAATAATCATGACAGCCAGAACTAAAATTTTGGTTTTCTCTCAGCTACTCTAACTTTAAGATCAGCATAAATAAATCTCAATGTATTTTGATTATTTTGTTAACTACTTGATTATTTAAAGAATAAAATGACAAATTCAACAACTAGAATATACAAATCATAAAAGTTGTCTAAGTGTCTGGAAGCATCTTAATTGGCTTTTATGTGTATCTAATACGGATTCGTAGCACTACTTCGTAGTCGTTTGCTACGAAGTGACGTTTCGTAGTAACGTTCCTAACTACTATTACTTCAGTTATAGCGATTACCTATTAATCTTATTGAGGTTAATCACTTCATAAGTAAAGCCTAATCAGCCAAAAATTTGGCAACCACCAACCGTCCGGTCGTTACACCTGCATTTTGTTACGCGGTAAGGACTTCCGTATAAGGAGTGAGACATTACTATTGTGCCATTGTTTCCTTTTATGATGTCATAAACATAATAATTCTATTACCGAGTAAGCTATCTATGTCGTATACATACATTGTCGTGGTGAAATCGTCCTTGGAACAATGAGGTGGCGTACAATGGTCTATTTTCGCGATAAGTCATTCCCGTAGCGCGACTGGCGGAAACAGTAGAAAGTGAAAGCTATTTTGCTTTACCGCAGCTAATTTTAGTTTCTGTTACTATAATAGGGCGGTGTTAGGAGATCTGTTTAACGATAAGTATAATTAAACATCACTTACAACCGATGTAAAGACTAGAGCTCATTAAAGCGAAAAATTGGTGAAGATAATCACAGGCTCGTTATCTCTCATCTGGCTATACATATTTACATACATTAAAAACTATTAAAGCGCTATGAAAACTCAATTTACAATTCAAATGTCAATTAAGTTTTTATGGGAAAATATTATATGCCTTTTATAAACTCCCATCAGTTTTGTAAACGCAAACTATCACCATATCAAAATTTCTTCAGTAAAGGAGACAGACGACTGTAACGGATAACTTAATAATTATATAAATAATTCCAATTGCTTAGAAATACCTACCTCCTGGCCAATCTACTCAGGCAAACAGTAGGAACAAGTATTTCTAAGCACTTGTTCAAACACAAAAAATGACAAACGTTCCAAGGATGGAAGACCTGGCGTGTACAGTACATACTTGTAAATACGAGATGAAAGTGGTGAAATCTCAAGACCGCCCGCGAGAAATCGACGGCGTAATAAATAATGCACTACATCGATGCGAGCGAGCCCTTTAATCGTCTAACTGGTTCCATACACATATTTTGACAACATGTTAGATAGAACATCGGCGTCTTTTAAAACTAACAAGAGCAACTGAGCTGCGGTCTTGCCATACAATGTAATTACCATCCGCGAGATTTAAGCGATATTAATCTAAGCTATCCGACAATTAATCAGACAAATTAGTGGCTACGCAGATACGTTTTATCAAGCGGTAGCAAGCATCTAATTAGAGATTTCTATGCGTGACAGATTATGCATCACATATCATTATTGTGTCTCGTTTGAATTCGATCTATATGCTGCTAGTGTCTCTACATTATTACAACAATGGTCTGAAAATGAGTAAAGCTTAAAAGCTTGCCAGTAAATTTAAACCACGAATCCGGGTGCTAGTAAGCTATCAAGAGTCGAGGCGTTCTTATCTCATAACTTAAATTAAACTTGTCGTTTATCTCTGAACCACATCCGCCTCACCTCGGAGCGTGGAAGACATTTGCCTTAACTTCTAAACATCGCAACATAATTGGGGCACAATAATTTGAGTTACTTTCTCCAATTTAACGTTAAATATAATTCATAAAATGCATATAGGAATGCCCACAATATTCACTGTCCAATTAGCACTTTCCGTTTCTTTTGTGATATAAAACAATAGCGAGCTGCAAGCGAATATAATGATATTATGTAAACTACATGCACAGTTTCTGTCAGTCATTGCTTTCACATGAATAATAATGAGATTAACATTTCACAATTTGCAGTCTGTCGAGACTCGAGGTACGTTGCGAGGGTGAAAGATGAAATATAAGTTTATGTTCCATTTGCGGCATGCCATTAGATTGCGAGCAAATCTGCCAGCTGTCAAGGGAGAAACTTTCAAGTTAGTGTCTCCGATAGGAGTGCAGCAAAAGTGAAATCTAGCGAGTTTCCCCGCGGCCGCCCGGGAGTATGGGGGCTCTACCGCATGCGGGCTACTCATATGGAAATGCACTTGTTATCTATCACGATTTGTAATTACTTGTTGCTATGCAAGTAGATAAAAATACATATCAAATCAGTTACACAATGATACATGCTTGAACTGTCGCTAATAGGATGTTCTGACTTCGATTACTTGTGGAAAAAAAGTGTAATTTTAACAATCTAGTTAGGACATTGCTGGCTTGAACAATATATTTATTTCATACTGTTATAATTTTATGTTTCGCAAAATGGGCCCCGTTATGTTAGGGTCACCTCAGTTTTACAGCACACACGACGATATAAAAAGAACTCGCAAAGCTTAGCTTTTTATGTCAAAGAAGATGCTCTACAAATCTCAATGCGAACGTTTATGATCAGTATTTTCGAAAAGTTATTGCCATTNGAGTTTCCTCGCCGCCGCCCGGGAGCATGGGGGCTCTATCGCATGCGGGCTACTCATATGGAAATGAACTTGTTATCTATCACGATTTGTAATAACTTGTTTCTATGCAAGTAGATAAAAATACACATCAAATCAGTTACAGTGATAGGTACATGCATGAATTGTCGCTAATAGGAAGTTCTGACTTCGATTTCTAGTTGAGAAAAGTGTAATTTTAACAATCTAGTTAGGACAGCAGGCTTGAATCAATATAGGTGTTTCAAACTGTTATAATTTTATGTTTCCCAAAATGGGCCCCGTTATAGGGTCACCTCAGTTTTTACAGCACACACGATATAAAAAGAACTCGCAAAGCTTAGTTTTTTATGTCAAAGAAGATGCTCTACAAATCTCAATGCGAACGTTTATGATCAGTATTTTCGAAAAGTTATTGCCATCGAATTTTTTACTAACTACGCGCATTTACAATTTGCCAAATGTTACTTGCGGTGAAATTGATAACTGTTCGCAGCAATTTGAAAGTGAATGGATGTTATTTGTCGAAACTTAATTATTATTTTGCTCGCAATTAAAATAAGATGGGCGCTTCCAAAAATTAGGAGGCGTGAAAATGTTGTGGGATATAATGTGCATATCCATTAATTTGCCCGTAATAGCCTGAGCTTGAATCGCTTGAAGCGAGCGTTAAATCGTCGCCGCGAGCCATCGAATCGATCAAAACAATCGTTGGAAAGCTGTAGCTGACCACTGTTCGCATAACCGCATTCCTCGTCAGTTTCATCTGACGGTAAAAATAAAACACGTTACGTCAGCACATACATAAAAAAACTTTCAATAAGACCCACTTTGACACTCCCCATGACGAAGTATCCCCCTTTTATTTTAAGCAAATGCGATCCAACTCTTGCTAACAATGTGTGTGTGTAAAAAATGCACTTTTACACGGGTAATTAAATGAAGTTGTGTAATTCAGGGTGATTGTGTCAATTCTGACATCACAGCAATATCGAGTAGGTACCTACGGACGGGATGACACCTTATTTCCTTGCAATGACCCGAACATGACGACATGCCGTCATTGCCAAAACCTCCTCAAATAAGAGCATCTTTACCAAAAGTGTAACTCGACCGACAATGTCAAAACAATCTGCCACTTCCCGAAAATTATTATTTCTGGATTCAGAGTAGCATGCTACTTAATCGGCACTTTCTCGAGATAATACTAAAATTATTACCCTCAGATGTCCATAAAAGTGTTGCGGGGATAAAATCTGGTGCATTTAGTGCAAGTGCAATATTTTTCGCCGTGCCCATTGCATGCTCGGCGCGCAAATGCAATTAAGGCAGCGATGTTTATGCGACAGAACCGGCCGCGCTAACAACCGCTCCACCCAGCATAGATCCCGCCCTTCCTTCGAAGATCTAGTTTTTTGACCCGCAACTTTTACAACAGGTTGATCGGCCACATCACTGTCCCAGTTTTATTTATAACACTATCTCGATCTAATAGATGTCACTGCTGATTAATTTGTGCGCGGCGCCTGATTCAAATTAATTCCGAACGTAGCCAATAAATTAGATTTAGATGCAATATGTTTCAATGTTTAACACGGTTCGTTGTGGGGAAATCATATGATTCTTAATGAATCGAGACCCGAAAAAACACGTCAACGTGTGATGAACTGTATCTGCTATGCACGTTTTTCAATCTTATCTTCTTTTAAATGTGACCTTTAAACAGCATTTAGTAAACATACATTTGTCTTAAATGGTAACTTTACACAAGTTGCAACGTTGCAAACAAAAATGTGCCTAAAATTATATTAGGCTTTAGTTATGGAGAAAATTGCAGCGCATCCTAAAAGGAATTCCAATAATGTCCACCTTTTCTGTGTTTACATAATGAGTCATCATTTTCCGCGCATAGCTTTCGACACGCACAATACAATCTATTCGGGTCAGACAATCGGACATCGAATAATACCGCTTCAGTACTCGCAACAATATAATCGGTAGATGCGATAAAAACGTTTAACATCTTTCAAACAAACGAGCAGTGATAGTTCGCAGATAATTTATTGTGGCCTCAAAAGTGTGCCCGCTGACAAGTTAGATTGGATGAAACAGGCATGTAAGATTAAATGTTCATTAACTTTTTATAAACAGTGCTTTGTCAAAATAAATCATGGGGAATTGTGTGTTTGTTCTTTCAGTATTGAGACGACTATTTATGGGATTTTGATGCATCAAAGTACACGTGAATTGAAATGTAGTTAGTAAACTTTAGGTGCGGCAGCTTTCTTACAGTTTTGATTTGACGGGCTATTTGTATGTACCTTACTTCTTTGCATGCACTTTAACCTTTTTAACAATTAAGTACTTTCTCAAGTACATTGAGATAGAGTGTGGGGTGAGGAGCGCCTGGGACTGAGAACTGACACACTGACTCGCTTTCCAACCTGCGACTCGAGCCGTTGAGCTCGCTTACATCTCATCTGATACTCGCTCCACGCAATCGATTAAGGGAAAACGATCTAGCTTCACAAGTCATGCGAATAACTTTATACCTTGCTACTAAGTATGACATTTGATTAATTTACACGAGAAAATTGGCCACCAATAACTACATTGATGAATTTCAATTTTCAATGCAAAATGTCTCTAAAATGAGACCTAAAATCCAATTACTTTTTAATTAACTGCGTGATGTAAACTATCAAAAAAATATGTTAATTACAGACGAATAACAAGAAATGTGATTGACTCTACTATACGAGCCTTTCATGTAAACCTGAATAAACTTGTTCAGTGTTAACTAACTTAATAATTAAATTAACTCTATCGCTCATTTTCAGCACATAACCAATTAAGTTATATCAACTTGCGATTCGCGCAAATTTTATGAGATGTTTGTTTTCTTTTGAGCGTTCTCCAGTTTTTAGCCATCTTGACGGAAATTAAAAACTGGTAGCCCATTAACGCTTTCTCCAGTGTGTTTCCGTTACATTCAAGAATTAACCGGTAAACATGGGACTTACACACTGAGAGAGAAAGTGACAATTATTGATAAGTTGTAAGAAGCATTCATTTCCTACCGCGTTAACGAAAGTGTTCTAAGTGTTTATGATAATATCAACGTGTTTACGAGCGCTCACATCTTTTATATTAGATCTATAATATTATTTAAATATGCAAAATTTATTACGCGAATATTTTATACGCCGATTACCTAGATGACACTTTAAATTAAATTAAATAGCGATATTTTTTATCAATTTTTTATTATCATCGTACTGAAAAAGTAGGGGAATTCAACTTATATTTTTTAAACGTTCTAAAGCCTTTATTGAAGTTTATTTTAAGTATACGTAGTTAAAATATTTCATTAGTTAAAAAAGCTCGCATCAGTATTTTAGAGCTGGTTCACCCTAAGTAAATGTCCTTTTGCAACGCGTATTACCCAAGTCTGAAGACAATCTCTGGCGATGACCGAGCACCGTAACACACGTTACAAAACCCACATCTGAACAATACAATGGGAAGTCCTACTGTGTGTGGACGGATTTTGCAACAGTTTACCTACTTCGGTGCAGAACGCAAGTTCGCAATTACCATATCCGCAGAGATAAACGCAAAGAGTAACAAAAACAGCTAAAAAATAAACATGGCATTCTTACGGTTTTGCAATCGCGGGTTACCCACTGTCCTGAATTTTTTGCAATGTTTTAAATACAAGGACGTAACACTTCTGACCGTAATTGTTACCCATTACCTAATAACTTTTCTTTTCTAGACTTTTAGAGAAGCTCTCCTTTTGCCGTCTGTTTCTAATAATGTTTCTTATTTCTATCTCTAGAAATATTACTTCACGGTCTCATCGAGCGTATCCTTTACAAGGGTCTTTGTTCAAATCCAGAAAGGTTTCAGTCAATGTTCACCTGATATACCGGGAGATCTTAGTCCCATCTCAAACTCATTTTAACACGTCATTATTCTTGCAATCAAAGTGTAAGGTTACGTTTCAGATGGTAAAGGTAAAAAATAATTTAATTGCGTTCAGGCATTGCAGGCGTTAAGTATAAATATTCGTTTAATTTCGAGGTAAGGAGTACATGAGCAAAGATGCCAATACAATTATTTTCGTCAGTGAAACCGTTAACTACTTATACCCGAGTATCAACATTACAATCGTTAAATTGTTTAAAAAAGAATTTTGCAATTCACCTTATCGTGTAAGCTCTTAAAACCCTGGTGTGAAATGGTGATAAGCCACTGTATGCTTTTAAGCCAATTTGCACATTGCAGTTATCCAAAGGCCTATGTTTTTGTAACTGGGACTAAAATCATCCAACGCATGAAACAAGGTTTAACATTAATAATTGATGAAGTAAGGAATCCAACTTTAGGACACCGTGTTAGAAGTTCTAAAAACTAGATCTTGAAGTTGAATAATAATAATAATAATAATAATAAAATTTTTTATTCACCGAATGAAATTAAGGCTACCAATGTAAACTTTCAGTCAACATTTATACTCGAATGAACATAAGTGGCTCTCTCTCATCTTAATCTTAAACTCATATTGAGTCGATTTGTGACAAGAATCGAGCGACATTTGTCACGAATCAGTGACGATAAATGATGGATTACTGAGTACATTGTCGATCAACTAACTTATATCGACTATTTTTCTCGCAATAAAACACTTTCTTGCGATAACACTGAACAAACTAGTAGTTTTTATTCGAATTACAAATATCGATTTCTTTATTTTTTGTCTAATAACATCTATACAATGTACATAGCAGCAATTAACTTACTGAACGTTTGTTTTTATTAAAAAAATACATTTTTGGACAGAAAATTTGCTTTGAAAAGCGATCATAATGAATGTTGGATTGTTTTTAGTTAAAGTTACCAGATAGGTAACATACATATCTTATTTTAAAAGAAATGTATTAATATAAGGGTTTTTTATGACAATAGAAACTTGTGATAAGTTTGATAGGAACAGTAAGTTTTCACTGTACTTGAGAACTTTGAAGCAGTTAGAAGTTCTTCTAACCATTTTCTGAGTGCTGGTACTTTAAGCGCGCATAAGACCTAAAGAAGGAGACGCTAAGATATTTATCCGACCGGTTGACTTTATTACAACCTATTTACTACCATTTCACATATTAGCGTAAACGAGAAACCCCTCATACACCTATAAAATGCGAGCTCTGTGACGCGTGGCCCACTTTCCACACCGGCTACACCACATGTCGTTTGTAGAGATGTTCTAACTCTTATTACCATCTCAATAAAGTGCAGATTTCTAGGCAACATTAATTACTTTGTATTAAAAATCGTCAGCCGCGTGTAATAAAAAAATACGTGCATGTAAATGAGTATTTCAAATGTACGCGATATGCGAAAGATTAATTCGGCGGATGTACGCCAGTGAAAGTAAAATTATGCAACTTTCTACAGCTGGACAGTAATCATGATTGAGGTATATTTATAAGTACATTACATTTCGTTACTATAATTGATGGTTATATTATGCATATTATAATTATCTAGTTGCCGGGAAATAGGTGATTTTTTTACGACGTTACAGTTCTGAACTAAGCAAAGCCTATAGATAGGGTATCAAAAGTAATATAAACATCTTTACTTAAAATATTTTTTGGAAAATAAGAAACATATTTAATTATACATACAAAAGACCCATTTAAAATACTTTGGGTAGTTGTTATTTATGTTGTATTTCACATCCGTTATCATAATAAAATTAATGTCAAATAGTGTCATTAATTATGTATGTGATACATCATTATTATCTACAATCTATCAGTAGCATAGCATCCTGCTCAAGCGTTCATATTTAAAAATCATAAGCTATACATTGCATATTAATTTCATAGAAGTTTTAATGTAGTGTAGCTATGCTCATGCTAATACTCTCATGTTTAGCTCTAGTTTAGTAGATTGATAAGTAGACCTATTAAAATGAAACTTTTGATTACTACTCTGAATAAAATATCCGACTGTGTAATTTCCCTTACAAATACGAGTTTAAGGGTCGCTGGGACCTCGTAGCAGGTGTCACAGCACAACAGCGTCCAGTAATCCAACCACAAGCACACAAGCCTTGTACCTTCACAGGCGTTTTCAGGTCCAGCAACAGTCACGGGATATCACAGCTTCGAGCACTGCTCCAGAGTTCACAATCACAAGTCACAGTCTGGTTCGATCACCTGTCACTTTCGTTTTCACGTGGTCCGCGCGCATGCCCGTGCGCCGTGGTTCGTATACGTCGAGCGCACTGGCCGCGCCCGCGGCGCCCGCACCGTTTTATACGCGTGAAAGTTCTGCCGGCACCGCCGCCGCCTCTATCCCGGATCGACAAGAGGATTCGGATTTTGAAATCCTTTGATGACGTTATGATGAGCTAAGAATGCGCGTGGGCTGTCACCTTTTTTGTTACCCAATGTTTTTCTCGGGTGAGCCTGTGTACCTCATATGGATTTATGAATGACGCGCACGCCAAGTTCACCTGCCAGTTTGCTCGTAAAGTTGGTAACCATTCGGTTAATTGAAAATTATATTTAAAAGGTAATTTTATTACGATCTAGAGCCATAATGGTCACGATTTAGGTTGTCTATTTTGTAGGTACATTTAGGCCATCATTATTACTAATTTTCATATTTTCAGGACTCATCCCTTTCAAGGTTATTTGATATAGGTACGAGTAATGTTGGTGAAATTACTCCTAAAGGTACTAAATATTAAAAATAACTCAGGATTGTGTTGTCATTATTCATTATAGGTTGATCCTTTCCTCAGTTTCCGCTACGAGCGCTACGACTACGAGATCTCGTAGCAGCGTTCTATATACTCCATGAACACGTGTTATTTTCCGCCCAATATTTTTGTACGATTTCAGGTTTCAGTGTCAATAGAGACTATAGTAATATACTTCAAAAACTCTTCAAAAAGTTTTTTTGGTTCTTCTTTATGTGTCAATATTTCGTGTTTCCTAGCGTAATCCGACTTCAATTTCATTTGATATGTTAAATTATTATTCATACATTCTAAGTTCCGATCAATAAGTAGTTTAATCGTTATTAAATCTAAATATATAACTCAAAGGTGACTAACTGACTGACTGGCTGACATAGTGATCTATCAACGCACAGCCCAAACCACTGGACGGATCGGGCTGAAATTTCGTAGGCATCCGCTAAGAAAGGATTTTATGAAACTCCACCCCTAAGGGGGTAAAACGGGATCCACGCGTATGAAGTCGCGGGCGGTCTCTATCTAAATATATACTCGTAACTCAAAAGTGACTGACTGACTGACTGACTCCGCTTCTAGGCATCCGCTAAGAAAGGATTTTACAAAACCCATTAGAGGTGGTATGGGGGTAAAACGGGATCAACGCGTACGAAGTCGCAGGTGGCCGCTAGTTGTAAGTATGTATAAAACGTGAACATTATTATATTTATTAGTTCCGATTAATTAGCTTTAATCGTATTTTTAATTGCTGCGTTGAAGTTAACCTCACCAGTTATAGATAAAAGCATCGAACACGTAAACTAAATAAAATAGCCTTTCCAAGTCTAACAATGTAATAAATTATAGTCACCTGCAGTAAAAGTACTAGAGCCTAGAATCTAGACTCTACATTATAGGTATTATCTCAGAAGCCAATGCAAAGCACAAAGCGTGAAATTTCAATCTCAGATTCAACCGAAAGCGAAAAAAACTCAAAGTAAATTCTTTATAATAAGGGAGAGCTCATAAAATAGATTGAAATTATGATAAAACTAGCTTTCCGCCCGCGGCTTCGCCCGCGTGGAATTTTGTCTGTCACAGAAAAACTTTATCGCGCGCGTCCCTGTTTCAAAAACCGGGATAAAAACTATCCTATGTTCTTTCCCGGGACTCAAACTATCTCTATGCCAAATTTCATCAAAATCGGTTGCGAGGTTTAAGCGGGATAAGCGTAACAGACAGACAGACAGAGTTACTTTCGCATTTATAATATTAGTTGGGATGTTCTTTTATCTGTTCCAAAATAGTAACTAAATCATCCGTCTGCTTAATCTTTGTTCGTAGCTTCATGCCTCTTTACGACATTTGAATTAATTAAATATAGTGATAGTTTAAACTTTGGGCGCATTATGTTCCGACAGACTTTCAGATACGTAATGGACTTTCATTGTTTGTGGTTACAATTTAATAGAAATTGGATCTTTGTAATTTATGGTTTTGGAATTATGCCTTATTATAAATTAACATCTTTGTGACTGTTTAAATCCTATTTAGAACTTTATTAAGTTCTTAGATATTAATTGCTTCAGCTATTATCTAATGTGTTTTATGATGTTTATAAATTAAGCAGAATTTATTTTCGTTAATGTTGGTACTGAAATATTACACAAACGTTCGAAAATTGAGAATTTTCCTTCAAAATTTTCCTCGTTTTCATCTTATACTCGTAGAAGCATGGTTTAAACGTACTGTTAGGCTGAGTTGCACCACCAAACTTTGACCGTAACCATAACCGGTGGTTTTTGTATGGAGTTTGACAGATTTTTGACGTTTGTTACAGTCAAAGTAAGATGGTGCAACCCAGCCTTAAAATTTTTAATAAATTAGCCAACTCCTTGTTTATTATAAATACCGTTTAGACCGATCCAAATTATTTGTGCATTTGTCATGCAATACATTTGTTTTTTAATGTTATTTGTAATGACGTATTGCCAATTAGGCGTTTATAAGTAGCATAAACTCGGCTCTACGCCAGTCCGCGGCAAGGTGGGCACCCAAATAAATATGAAATTGTGAAAAGAGTGAAATCGAATAAATTGCCCATTGTGTTCGCAAGGTGCACGAATTTGGTAAGTAATACTTTCATCTGACGTGTGCGGCGCGAGCGCATGACTGATCCGAGTTAAGTGTGATGCGCTGTTAGCGGCGACACTGCCATCATTTTGTGGTTGGGTTATGCAATGCTTCATTCATCATTTGCTGTTTCTTTTGTTATTTTTAACAAACATCTCTTATGTAGGTAAGGTTAAAGTGACTGCACTCTAAATATTTCAGCAAATATTTAAATGTCGATGTTGCATAACATGTTTATGTACCTACGTTAGCGGGGAAACTGCATTATGCATACTAATGCTGTAGAGAAGAGAAGGGGCAATTTATGTGGGACTCCTTTATAGAGAAACAGGGATTATCAGGGATATTCGCTGCATAGTCATAGTATTGGTTATAAGTACTCACCACCTAAAAAGATCCGCATATTCACTAAACATTCACAAAAAAAAGCATGAGATGGCTTTTGGCTTGTTCTCTGATATGCAAAACATGTTGTGTCGAACCCAGTGACCCCTCATCATGACTTAGGAATGAGACATCGTTGCATTCGCCTTCAAACAATACAATAATTTTATTTAAAGAAAGTTACACAACGTTACTTATTAACGAATACTCAGTATCAAGAGAAAACCGTGTTCCTAACTAGTTACATATAATTGTGTCAAACGGGTCTCAGCGCGGATCAATATGTGGTTTGTCAAATGTAACATAATCGATGTTACAGTCAAGAAAGAAATTATTGCATACCAACTTACAACTTTCTTAAAGACAGAAGTGAATAAGCACTTTCTGAGCCGGTAGTTTCTCCATCTTTCTCTGCAGAAACTGAATTTATAGTTTGTATTATTTACAAACTGGTTGATTTTGATATTGCCTTATAGAAATCAAATAGGGATACTTACCTAAGTATTGCATGGTGCCTACATATTATTAATATAATTAAATTGAATAATTTTAGTTAATTTAACCATCGGTTCAGTAATCATAATTCATGCATCTTTTAACGAGGTATAAGCTATAAATATTTATTTTATTTAGATTTGTGTTTACATTTCATTATCATAACTGAATTAAAATATTTATAGGAGAATCCTTAATTTATAGATTTTATGATGTTACTATAAGACTTGAAACACCCGAATTCGGGACTACACTCCTTAATTTCAAGGCGAGAGTGAATAGGCACTTACAGGGCAGATATTTTATGTACCATCCTAGACTGCATCTCACTTAACACCAGGTGCGATTTCGGTCAAATACCTGCCTTGTTACGCATAAAAAAGTACATGCATCATACATCAAAAAAGGTAACACCAATTCAGTGTATTCGTATTATTACAAAAGCCTTTGTTTTACCAATTAGCATTATTAGCAAATAAATTCAATTAACATTTTCTAAAATTTCACTAAACCCGCATTGTTTATCGCACGCCCAATTTATTATTGTCGTAATAATACGACAGACATGTAACTTGTTACATATGTCTACTACACTGTAATATGTATAATGTCTGCCATGTTTTGTAATTAGACACATTAATGTTGAATCATATCGGTGGCCTAATTGTACGGACCTATTTACTTCCATTAGATATTAGTAAACGAATAATTAAATTGAAAAAATATTAGTAGGCAAGTTTCTTTTCAATTTTACAAAACTAAAAGGACACATAAATTCTTAAACCTTCGCGTTCCATTTCAATTAAAATAGATCATTTTAACTAAAAGTACACTTCGGTATTTTCAACCTTTAACCTAAACTATCTGAACCCGCGACTAGATTTTCTAGTCAAGAAAGATGTTTGTTTATCTTCCAGTTATTGTTAATATTCTATTAATAAATGAACTCTAGAAATTCATTAAAGCTTTTCTCCTAATAGGTACTTTGTGCCCGAAATTTCCAGTAGCATTGTAAGTGTAGGTAAGCCAATCAATCGACATGTGGCTCGCCACAGCGTATATGCTACATACAATACTTACAATGCAGGACAAACAAAGAATTTTGTACTGCCAATAGTATCCGTTTTGCATAACAAAGGCGTGTCACTTTCTTAAACGGAACACAGAATTTGTGTCAGTTAGTCACCGTAGTCACTACGAATTTACATAATACCCGTAGCATTATGGAGTATTATAATTATTATTGCAAATGTGACGATGTATTGGATGCAAGTGAAAGTACTTTATTGTATTCGTACTTATAATTTAGATTCAACACTAAGCTGGTTGTAATACCTACTCGTCGGTTCTGTTAGGTTTATGATAATGTATTATAGTATTTATTAGTACTCTAACTTAAGTATTTTTATCAGTGTGTCAATTTCTTTACCATTTTACACGAAAGATTTGCCAACTACTGTCATAATACCTAATTATTTACTGTAACTTAGTTATTGTTAAAGATTCTGAAAATACCTAGTTAATTTTAT